GCCAAAAAAAAAAAAAAAATGGAAATAATTTATTTTGTTATAACTTTTTTCTTGTTATGTTTTTGTGCAGGAATTACAGAAATTCATATTTTGGTCGAGTTGGGGGATTGGCCACACAAGAAATGAACAAATTGGAGTTTGAATTTTTGTTCTTGATGAAATTCAAATTCCATGTGAATGTGAGTGTTTTTGAGAGCTATTGCAGCCATTTGGAGAGGGAAGTTAGCATTGGAGGAGGTTACCAAATTGAGAGGACTTTAAGGTGTGCTGAGGAGATTAAGGCTAGACAAGGCCAAGAGTCAACATACAATGATCAAGCTACTAGAATTTTGCTCTAGATTTTTTGTTTTGAAGATACTTCAGTGTGCAAGAAAATGGGTATATAAGAAGAAATTTGAAACCAAATTGTACATAAGCTTGTAAATTTTGTGTATTTCTTCTTGTAGAGATTATTAATTGATGTGCCTCCTTATGGATGAATTTTGGGCTTCAAATATGCATAGTCATACTTTAAACACCATAAGTGTAAGATTCAATAGTATAAGTTTACATTTGTGTTCATACAGTATGACAGGTCGAACTAACTAATGATTGTATTATACAATGATTTGTTTGTTTTTATAACCTCATATGTGAAACGTACTACTATATGTATACTAGTTATATTAATACAATGATTTGTTTGTTTTTATAACCTCATATGTGAAACGTACTACTATATGTATACTAGTTATATTTCATTGTTTTGGCCAGTTAGGTAGCTAATAGTCATGATAGTCGAGGTAAAAACAAACGCTTAAATTTTGTTGTGGTAAATTATGTCACATCATCTTATTAGTAACATCACAACTTTTTATTTTCCAATGTAAATGTGACTATAAATGTTGTAGTGATGTGTACATAATTAATGTCTACCGTATAGAGAAGAATGCGGTTCATCAACATTCTCCTTCACACCCTAGCTAGTCAATGAATAGTAGAGACAGAATTATTCTTACTATTTTCAAGCTATTTAAATATTTAATTAATTTTTTTATTTTTTATTAAAATTTTAATATTTGGTAAGTAGATAATATTTTAGTTAAATTACATTGTGTATTGGAGATGATTTTTAAATTTCATAGTTGTAAACTTAGCATTAATCCTACATGATTCACATTCTATTTATTGCTATCCAATGTGCCCTTAATTTATTTGATATTTATCATAATTTATTATATAACAACACTATATCACTAGAGATGCTCTTAGAGCATCTCCAGACTCCAATGCTCTAATGTTGTTATTGGATAAATTTTGACAAATGTCAAAATATTAAATAGATTGTGAACCATGTAGGACAAATGTTGAGTTCACAACTATTAAATTAAAAAATCATCTCCAATGCACAATGTAGTCTAATTACACTATTATCTACTTACCAAATATTAAAATTTTAATATAAATTAATAAAATTAATTAAATAATTAAATAGTTTGAACCACATTCCTCTCTACATTGTACACATTAATTATGTCCATATCATCACAACATTTGTAATCACATTGTACATTGGAGAATAAAAAGTTGTGACATTAATAAATGTGTTGATGTGGAATGTAATTGATAGGTCGAAATATGTGCACGTTTTATATATTTAATAGTGTATTCTTATACACTTAATTTATTCGCACATTTATATTTTTCGACTTATTTATTTATTAGATGGATTCTGGTGCTTTGATATTTTTATTGTTTATTTTTAGGATATTGGAGTGTTTTTATGGACGACGAAATGTCGAAGGAAGGTTGAAGCAGGCAGTACGGGGGAGTTCCATACTCGACCCCATACTGACAATTTGGGCCCAAGATTAATTTTGTGGGCAGCATGTCCAAGCCCAAAATGTGAGGCTTTATTTTCTAATGGAGCAAATTTGGAGGAGCTAATTAATTCTTGGACAAAAAGAATTAGAATTGGGAGCTTATGATATATGCCACATCAGACTTGCAAGGAAAATTTACATACGCAGCACGAAGTTTTTAGAAGAATTAATTGGTGGAAAAGTCACGCATACCTAGTGAGGAGAGGAGTTTATAAACCAAGTCAAATAAAAAGAGATACGGAAGCCCTTACACACGCAGACCGGGGAGAGGATTTATTTGAGCAGCCGCCCCATTCACGCAGCCAGAGGAGAGAAAAAAAGAACGCAGCAGTCACAAAGAGCAATACAGATACGCGAGAAGACGATAAATCGAGGAGGGAAGCCGCACCCGCACACGAAAGGGGATAATTCTATTCTCTTTATTTTCTTTTATTATTTATTATGTTAGGCTAGATTTTTCTTTCTAGTTCCGGGAAAGTCGAACCCTACGATTGACTATGTTTTGATTGATTTTTATAGTTGATGATTTTAATATCTTATTGGAATTGCTTGTGTTATTTTGAATAATTAACCATGATGTGTTAGTCTTGTTTAGATTGATCACCTAGATTAGACTTTTCATATCTACATCTGAATTAGACCTACAATCCGTAATTGTTGTTGTGTTTAATTTATAAGAGGTAACCGAAAGATGGTAACTACTGGAAATAACACGGCCTAATTAAGTGAACGAACGCGGTTGAGTTCACTACTTAGTCTAACCTATTTTTCTAATTCGTAAAGCGACTAATTGTATTAAATCTTGAAAACATTTTTTCGGACTGTACAAGAAGTCAGGTTTAATCGTCGAGCGTCTCGCGTTGAATTAAAATTAAGGAAAAATTTGGGTAACAGACCATGTCGTTGCCTAGGGCTAGTAATTTAATGCGATAGCGAGATTTGATACTAAAATTGATTAGACGAGTCAGTCGAGGGTGTAGATGGAACCGTGAACTAGAAAGTTCTCTTCATTTATTTATTTTTATTTTTATTTTCTTGTTTAGATTTTATTTATTTCATTAGATTTTTAGGTAGTTTAGTTATTAAATAAAAACCCCCCATTTATCATTTTTTATAATTTCAATTAATACGAGAAAATTCACAATTTGATTCACACTCCTCGTGGGATCGACCCTTACTCGCCACTACTACTAGTTAGTAGAAATTAGTCGAGAAAAATATAAATTTTAATTTTGCCGCGTTGCGACGCGCGGTCAGTAATTTACCACTACAACATTGAGCATTAATAATTAATGCTTTCGGACATGCCAAGTTTATGACAATGATTATGGTTATATATAATAATCAAATTGAACCCCAATTGATAATGATAGGCATGAAATGGAATTATTAGTTCGAGTGGAGAAACAAATGCATTATATAATTGGAAAGGTGATGCAACTAAGATCAATCCTCCTAAAAATGTAATCTCATAAAAGCAATAAAGATCCAAATTATAAATATTATTAATAATGATAATTATTTTTTTATTATAGGACAACTCATCTTGTCACCTCCTAAATTAGAATGTTAGAATAAACAATATCAATCTTAATTGTTTGGACTTAGAAAATTTGTAGGACTTAGAAAATTTGTAGTCATTCTTAGGTAAACTATTTTTTTCTAGTGCATTAGCCCATTTGATAAAACATAATTAAGAGGTAAATGATAAATTGTGCAAATGCATCCTTCTGAATTTAACCACTTTAATTATGTTAAAATATCAATAATAAATTTTCTAATAACACTTCCTCTTTAAACAATTTGTCGTATTGTGCCTAAAAAACCAGTGTGAGTGGAGCTGTATTAATGAAACGATATACTCGTGAATTTGACTCGTTAAGGTTTGGACTTTGCTCGACTTGTTTGATAAATGAGTCGAGCTCGACCTTAATTACTTACTTAGTTAGTTAACAAGTCGAGTTAGCTCAGCTCGGCTTGTGAAGAGCTAAAGCTCAATTACTGACTCGTGTTGTTAATAGCTCGTGTTGTTAAGGGCTCGAACTCACGTATACATCAATAACTTTTTTGAACCATTTTAGTAATTTGGCTAAACTGCAGCGCGGAATTAACGGTGTGAAAATATAAAACGGCATCGGATATTGGGCTCCCCATGCTACAATCTTGGCACTACATAAAAAATGGACTCATTTCCTGGGCTTCACGGCCCATTTTCTACCTCAAGCTGACCACAAAGCAAGCAAAAGAATATGGGCTCGCATCAACGTGTGAGCTGCAGGCTTGCAACTATCAAGTAGAAAATGGGCTTTTTCCTGGGCTTCACGGCCCAGAATGCTAAATTATATTTAAGAAAAAAAAATTAGTGGCGTTGAACCTACTTTGCACAAAAAATTAGTGGAAAAGGAACTTTCAAGACAACCGAGATTCACGGTGAGGCATACATGAGCTAATTATCTCTTGGTTTGGATTATAAAAATGTTCAAAATTAAATAAATTAAGAGCCACCCTCTAAATCTCCACACACACATCAAATTTACAATTTTCTTTTTGGTCATAGAAAAAGTCTATTTTTTCACACTCAAGTCAAGCCCCTCCTTGCACTTGTCACAAACTCCACTCACACTCCTATTTTTCTCTACCTCTACTCCAAACTAAAAACTAGGAGTGAACATCCTTTCTTCACCATTCACTCTCACAACAACTCCAACTGCTAGAACCAACTCCCCATATAACCTTCTTATCTTCATCATTTTTTTTCCGCACCAAATTCACATGTTCCTTTTATCTTTTTCCCTACTTGTTCTTCAACTTTCCTTGATCCAACACACATTCAACTTAACTTCTATTTACTAAGTCACAATGGCTTGTATAGATGAGCAACAACCAAATTTCAAGCACTATTGTAGAGTGTGCAAGAAAGGTTTTATGTGTGGGAGGGCTCTCGGCGGGCACATGAGGGCCCACGGGATTGGCGACGAGAGCGGAAATATCGACGACGAAGACCCCGTTAGTGATTGGGAGGAGAATAAGTTCGCAGGCGGCGTTGATAGGTGTAGCAACAAGAGAATGTACCAACTCAGGACGAACCCTAATCGACTAAAGAGTTGTCGGGCGTGCAAGAACTGCGGAAAGGAGTTCTTGTCTTGGAAATCTTTTCTCGAGCATGGCAAGTGCAACTCGGACGATGCCTCCGAGTCCTTCGTCTCCTCCCACGATTCTGGCTCTGCTGACGAAGACGGAGTTGAAGACGACACTGGCGGAGCGCGTAGCCAGTGGTCCAAGCGTAAGAGATCCATGCGCTCGAAAGTCGGGTGTTTTAGTGCCACAAGCTACCCACCGAGCGAAGAAGATGACATCGTGCTTGCTAGATGTTTAGTGCAGCTAGCTAATACGGTCGTCGATCAAATGCCAGTTGCCGACCCAGAGGAATCGTGCGCCTCCGTCATCCGTGAGGCTCCGCGAAACGGTAATTACACGTACTTTGCTCCGCCAAACAGCACGATTGGGCTTTTCGATCGAAACAAAGGGAAGGGAATTGTTTCGACTACCCTCAAGGGGATGTTCGAGTGCAAGGCATGCAAGAAAGTGTTCAACTCCCACCAAGCGTTGGGAGGCCATAGGGCAAGCCACAAGAAGGTCAAGGGTTGCTACGCGACCAAGCAAGACCAAATACCACAACAACATGAAAACAACGACACTCCATCAATAGATGATGGCGTGATGATCACGAACAATGAGGAAACGAAATTGTCGTTCGGTCAATCCAATTCGCAGTTCGAACAAGGACCCGACCCGTTGGTGGGGTCCGCAAGGAGAAAATCGAAGGTCCACGAGTGCTCCATCTGCCACAGGGTGTTTGGCTCGGGCCAAGCCCTCGGAGGACACAAGAGATGCCATTGGATCACTTCGAATTCTCCGGAAACTTCCTCTTTACCTAAGTTCCACTTCCAAGACAACACCACCACCATCAACAACAACATCATCCTCGACCAAACCAACATTAATCACAATCGTCAACCTAATCCAACAGTCAATATACCCGACAAGCTTGACCTCAATGTCCCCGCATGGGCCCACGTGACGGGCCCATTAAGCTTCCACGTGTCCACGGACATGCAACTGCAGCCATGGATTGGGCCCGACTCAAAAAACATCGACTCGGGCCCACAGTGTCAACCTCAAGGGTTCCAACTAAAGAATGAAAACGCCGATAATAACAACAACAACAATAATGTCAATGGCGACATTATCGGGAGCAACATTGTCAACGGGACAGTTGATACGAAAAGTGGGACCACGCGATTCGTCGAGGACGAGGCTGATAGCAAGTTGATCAAGTTAGCCAAATTGAGTGACTTGAAGGAGATGGACAATAGCGGCAATTCATCTCAATGGTTACAAGTGGGAGTAGGATCCACGGCTGAAGCAGCTGCAAATGTATAATCCTTTTCTTTACATACTTTTCTCTTTCTTTTTATATTTCCTAAAGGAAAATATATATAGATTACATATGCATATATATACACACACATATAAAGTAGAATGTACATTTTTGTGTTTCATAATTATACTGTAAACAGTTACAAGAACTACTCGATTTTTTTATCTTGGCATATTGTACTTATTCTAGTGAACCTAAATGTAATTTCTCGTTTCTGGTACATATACGTTGTTAAAACAAATTTGTAATTTGTGTTCCATACTTCATATTTAGTAAGGATAATCTTGCAAATGGATATGCATTGTCAAGGATTCAAATTGAAATAAAGAGAAATATATCACTTAACTAATAAAATTAAATGTAAAGCGAAATATATCACTTAACTAATAAAAATTAAATGTAAAGCTCAGTATGACTTGAATTGAATAATTAGTTACCATAAGATTAATTTTTATTTTTTATTTCGACTAAAAAATCACTAAATTCTTGTATCTTAATATTGACTGATTAATATTTGAAATTAAATATGCTTCAAATTAGTTGTGTTTTTAAAGAAGAAAAATTGAAGCATATGAGATAATTAATATATTTATGATGTGACACTGTATGAGTTCTGAAAATTTTGTCAACTCGTAGAAAGCTAGTCAACAAGGATTAGTGGGATGGGATGAATAATTAATAAATGTGATGACCATCACAGGAAAATGGCACTTTAATTTTGTTAGGATTAATGGCAATGTCTTTATGCAATTTACTCTATGTACAGCGTGAAGAAAGGACCATTGACTTTATCATTTCTTTAATTCTTCATTTTTATTTTTCCTTATCATCGCCTCTTGATAATTTATATTCTTACATATAGTGTTTGCCGTTCCTGGTTTCGGGATTTATTCTGTTTAAATATATGTAGCATATGATCAAATTAGAGAAATGAACATACGTAAATTATTGTGCAAGTAAAATCGACTAACTATTAGGCGATCCATTATATATTTTTTTTAATAAAATGTATATTTATATTTTATTTATGTTGTTTACTAGAGAGTGATATTTTAGTTTGAAAATATTTATATCTATGGAGAAAAAACGATTGCTTATCGATTAGACCAGCCTAACACCGGTCTTGGATGTTAGGAAATTACTTCTTTTTTAATAATTATTTGTATATTAATGTGCTAAGTCAACTTTTTTCGGTCCAAAAATGCTTGTTGAATAGATATAACTTTGTCACAGGTGATACGAGGGAGGACTAAATTCGGATTTTGCATAATTATGTCGGTTATTAGGTGCAAATTCACTAAGAATTCAACCCCTTGATTGCAATTAAATGAAGCATTCCAATTCATAAAATACGCATAATTTAGCTTCCAAAACAAAATATACGTCCAATGTATACAAGGCGCATACAGTTAACAACTCTTACATTTAATTTCATTTACGCAATGTATTGATTCCGATTGGTGTTATATACACATTGCATTTAATTTAGCATTTTTTTACATTGATAATATTTTTAAATAGAAAATCGATCTATGAACTAAACTAATAACTTGGTTATTAGATCATAAGTTTAGTCCAACTGCAACATATAATCATGCAAATATTCATACATACATGACTTGCAATTAATGTCATCACAATTCTAAGTTAAGAGAAAATTAATGGAATAATTGATTATGTCATCTAACATGACTAATTAGAAAATTCTTAAACACCATTAACCTATATATCAATAAGATTTCTAACTTCAAATAATATGCAAATTCATTTGAATTTGGAATTATTTGGAATGATTAAAATACATGCATACTCACACGGTGTATGTATTGAACTAACATTGAAAAACTTGATAATTTTATTACAAATAGATGGAAATTGTGTTTTACCTCATGAGTCTGGAAATTAACTATAATTATGCTAAGCAAGATAAAATAAATGAAGAAATGTCTAGCTCGTAAAGTTTCCTGATCAAAAGTCATTCATTTTTTTTCTCAAGCCAAATAAAAACTATTTACCTTAATCACGTTTCTAAGAGTACTACAAAACTCAATTAATACATGAAAACTACCATAGTATATAATTAAGAATCTCATGGCACACATGGCCCATGAACCTAATTTAAAATACTCTATATTATTAGTTTGAACTTACTTTATTTTATCAACCTTTGGTAATTAACGAAATGTTTGTATTTAGCAACCACAAAGTACAATATATATATATAAGCGACATCGAATAATGTATTATCAAAGTAAAATTATAAATTTTTGCAGGGACGGACCTATATGTACTTTAGGGGGGGCCATTGTCCCCCCAAGATTATATATATATTTAAATATATATATATATATATATATAAAAGTATATTATTTTTCAAATAAACTTACACAATTATGTTAAAATAGTAATTGTATTACTCTTTCTACTAATAATTCAACTACAATTATACTCTTTTGACACTTTTCTATAACATTTTTTCTAATTTAAATAAATTGAATATATAGTAAATATGTGAAAAAATAAAAATTGTTATTTTTTAAAAAAGAAGACCATATAAGATATGCTTGGAAAGAAAAAATATCAAACCATTAGTATGGACTATGGAGGCAATCATTATGATATTCATGTGTTGAGAGAGTGTTCAATGTTAATTTGTTAATGTTAAGGTTTGAAACTTTATAATTTATATTGCACCATTATTATGTATAATTTTATAATACAACTTCTATTTTTTATGTACAATAAATTAAATTTATGATTATTAAAAAACATATAGTCCCCCCCAAAAAAAAATTCTGGATCCGCCCCTGAATTTTTGTATGTGACAACCTAATCGATATGCATGTCGATCTGTTATACATCTTTAACAATAATGCATACTATGCTACGCAATAAGATACCTGTTTATATTGTTTATAAGAGTATAACTTTTCTGTTTAAAAAAATACATATATATTAAAAAAGTATAGTTGTGTAACAGTTATTACTATCTAGCTAACAACATTCTTACTAAATACAACTTGTTTCTAAATGGTGGATTTTTTTTTAACTGATAAACTTTAGATTACTTACTTCAAAGAGTTAATTATATAAGGTGTCTTGCACATTTTGTAAGTTATACTTTCAAAGCACCCAAAATTTACCCTGCATGTATATTGCCTCTTCATTATTAGGAAAAAAATATACATAGTACATTATCTTAATTGTATCTAGTTGCGTGTTACTTGCATAACATACTTCAAATTTATCACCTTTTAATTAACAATTAAAATAAATATGGTCTAGCCAATATATGTATGAATCCATGTACTTTACATAAGTGAAACAATGATTAATGTAATGTGATAGTACAAATTTAAATTCATAAAACACTGATTAATGTAATGTGATAGTAAAAATTTAAATTTATGGGGACCGGTTGGGACATTTCTGATAGCACGTAATTAACTACCAAAGAAAAGAAGCAGTGAATAAAAAAAAATTGATAAAAGATAATTGAAAACGCGTAAAAGCTATAATGTGCTGTGAATTAGGTAAATGTTATGCAAAATCAAAAGAAACTGATAGTGTCCACAATTTGCCTACCAAAACGGCATTTAGTTTCCTGCAAATCTCCATTTTTCTCATATCATTTATGACACATTTCAAACCAAAGATCCAAAGTTGAAAAGCCAAATCTTTTATTAAAAGAAATAAATCAACAAATAAAATTTAATCATAAAATGAAAACTATAAAATGTCACTCGTTTTTTTTCGTTTATAAGTGCTTGGACAAATTAAATGAATTTGAATAAATGAATATTATCCCCCATTTTTGGTCAAGGGAGGCATGCCAAAATCTCCATGCATTTGATTTGTTTAATATATCTGACACAGTCACAAAACATGAATGTAATGCAATCTAATTTTAGTGACTAATTTGCTTTAATTCTGGCTAATCACATTTTAGTTTCAGCAAATTGCACTTCATTTTTCTTCTTGGGAATTCGAATCCACCACATTTTGAATTTGATGATTTGATCTATAGCCCTATTTAATTATCATAACAAAATCAAGATTTTCAATTTATGGCACCATATTTTTCTTTTATGTTTTAATAATTATTTATCTATGCATCCTTTAATTTGAAATGTCATAGTCCAAAAAAATTACTTAAACAATTATATAATATTTTAAAGCATCAATGAGCAAAAAATGTGACAAGTAGGCGGAGTTATACATTTATTTATTTACTTTGTGTGTCATAACTTACAAACAGAGCAGTTTGCTTGACTTGAATAAAAGCAAATCATGTTATATTACTTATTGTAACTCCCAAATTTAACTCCAAGAATATCCTTCTCAACATTTTTTTTACACACAATTGACCGTCCTTCGAATATTCTGTTAAATAATACTCACTTTCCTTCCAATCTCAATTTTTGGTCAGCCAAAGTCAATGGCTTTTGAGGAAAAAACAAAATAAAATAAACGATAATATAGAACTTAATAAGAAAAAATCTCGCATGTTACATGTTTACCCTTCGAACAAGATGCCCTCTTTTATAAGCTCTTTTTTTTGTTTTCTCATTAATTGCCTTTTGCCGTTCTATAAGAAAAATATAACTTCACATACAATCAAGAATCTCTCTAGCGTAAAAACCTTTCAACTATATATATACACATCTGCATACATATTTTGTTTATATTTCTACACACACTGTGTGTACATATACACACACATAAAATCCTTGTCACCTACTCCTTTTAGCTTCTTCACAGAAACACACACACTGAAAAAAAAAACAGAGCTTCTTTTAATTTGAAAAAAGTTGTNCAAAAAAAAAAAAAAAATGGAAAAGAGACACAAATGCAAGCTCTGTTTCAGAAATTTCTCCAATGGCAGAGCTTTAGGCGGGCACATGAGATCCCACATGATGAAATTCTACGACGAGGCCAAAAAACGGCGGCCGGAAAATCATTTCCGGCCAATAAACTCGTTCTCGTCGACCTCAATATCTCAAACTTCATTTTCATCCTCGTCATCATCGGAAGGAAACGAGACGGAGTCTTGCAATAACAAAACGGATCGGGCCGAAATCGGGTCGGGTCGGGGCTCGGGTCACGGCCGGTTGGAGAAAAGGTTGAAGCTTGACGAGCAGTCGTCGTCGTTGAGCTCGATTTCCGGTACCACCCCTGAGGAGGACGTCGCCCGGTGCTTGATCATGCTGTCGAGGGACAGGTGGACGAGGGCACAAGTGGAAATTCACGATTATGGCGGTGGGGGCTTCGCCGGTAATTTGGAAAGTTCGGGGGTGGGTAAAGCAAATAAGGGCAAGTCGAGGAGCGGATACAAATGCGAGGAGTGCGGCAGAGTGTTCAAGTCGTATCAAGCGCTGGGCGGCCACCGGGCAAGCCACACGAAGGTCAGAGTCGAGACGCCGGAAATTAGGAAATCCGGCCGCCGGCCGACGGGAGTGGAGAAATTACACCAGTGCCCTTTCTGCCACAGGATTTTTCCGTCGGGTCAGGCGCTCGGAGGGCACAAGCGGTCGCATTTTATGGGGCAGGGGAGGGTTTTGGAAAATGGTGATAGTACGAGCCCTGATAAGCAAAATACCAGAAATGGGGATTTTCTCGATATAGATCTCAACTTGCCGGCACCAGCTGAGGAAGGCGAGGGCAGCCAGGTTGCAATTTCTGCTGTTTCTGATTCTGATTTAGTTTCTTGAAAAAAAAAATGTATTTTGACTGATTTTGAGGTAAGTTGGGGTGAAAAAAGGTAAAAGTGTAAGTTAAAGGATTGGTTTGAAATTTCTCTAGGATTGGTTATCTTTGTGTTATTGTGACTACTTTAGATTTTTGGATTAATGTTCAGTCAAACAACAGTTACATCTTTTAATTTCAAGTTTAGTTTAGTATGATCAGTTTGTTAGATGACTAAAGTGTTGGTCCTCTGTTCATGTTTTTAGTTTTTCCATTGTCTTGTGGCCAAAGTAACTTCTGAACATTTCTGGCAAAAAGGGTTCTTTATGGTACTTACTGCTCATGAGATATACATGTTGTTAGCTAGCAGCCAACTGTTTTTCACCAATTTACATTTTTTTTCCTTAAAGATTCTGATATAATACAACTGCATTCTTGGAATAAGTTGATTTAAAGCAGGATATTGTATCAGTTGACTCAGTTCTGTAACTCTGTGAAATGTACAGTTGAGCAGAGAGTATACTTCCAAACATTGAAATTTCTATCTTGATATTGGTATCATTAGAGAGTCATATGTTATTACAAACAATGGTATTTATGTATAATATGAAATGTCATAATTTTATTTATGTTGTACTTTAAAAATTAAAATATAAAATTTGAATATAAAATATCCGCTGAAAGAGTATGAATGTTTAATTATTAGTCAATCCCAATGTATGAATTTTTTTCCTGTTACTTTTGAAACTTTAGTTTGTCTCGAGTGTCTGAAACTGCTTTGTAAAAGCTCTGATTGCAGTTAAGGAACACTAAATGCTAGCTGCTATTTTTTCTTGACTTAAAGGTTTTTCTTGATTTATAATTTTTAAGGCAATTAATAACTTTTGCCAAACTTGGAGAAAAAAAATAGACAGGTAGAAAGTGCAAAGAATCCCTACTTGGCTACTTCTGGTGAAAGGAATATTGCTTGTTGGGCATGAGCAAAGTAATCCGGCTCATGCAGGCATAGTGAG